CCTTACTGATCTGGCAGTGGCCTTGGATATGGATAAAGGAGAATTACATAGAGAAGTGGAAAAAATTTATAGACTTAACTCCTGGATTGCTAAGCAGAAGAATTTGCCTAGAGATGTGGTGATTTATTTTACAAAGAAGTCCCTGCGGAATGAGATTATACAAGCCTTTTACAACAAAAGATTTCAGATTGCTGCCCAAGATGTTATCATTCTAAAGGAAATCCCATCCAAAATTTTAAGAAGCAGGAAAGACTTCGCTTTTTTAACCAATGAGCTCAAAGCTAGATTGATGCCATTTAGATGGGAAATTCCGATGGGTATTGTTTTGAGCCATGCGGGGACACGCTACAGATTGAATACAGTTGACAAAGCTAGAGAGTTTTATACTTCGGTCCTGGGTGCAGGCTCAACTTCATCTGGTCAGAAATCTCCGAGCGGCAAGGAAGTCGAGCAGCAATCTGAGGCATTAGGTTTGGTTTCCGCTGGGATGATACAAGCTGAAAGGCAACGCCAGATGGAGGTTAAAGAGCAGAGGATGACTCGTGCAGCTTATAAGCGTAAAGAGAAGGAGCAACGTAAAAAAGAGCCTAAAGAGAATTCTTCTGGAAGTGCATCATCGCCGGTGGGAGGAGCAAGACCCAAGAGTTATGCAACACATGCAGCTCTTTCAGATCTTGATGGTGTCTTCTCCAGGCTGCGTGCCAAGGGAGATGGCAAAGTTTTTGACCTGGAATGTTAATGGATTGAATTCTCCTCAGAAACGGAAAAAAATCTTTTATTATTTGAAGCAACATACCAATGATGTTATTTGCTTACAGGAAACTCATATTTTACTTAAAGATCAGAAATATTTAGTCAATGCTCGTTTGGGATCTCATTTTATATCTTCTGCTCCTGGGAAGAAAGGGGGAGTTGTTATATATGTTAAACAAAACCTACCAGCTTGTCTGGTAGAATCAGATCCCCAGGGGAGATATGTGATGATTGAACTTGGTATATATGGTAAGAAAGTACTTATAGTGGGACTTTATGCTCCAAATCAACAACAGGAACAATTTTATAAGCAGTTACATCAAAAAATAACATTGCTTGACTATAGATCAGTGGTATTAATGGGTGATTGGAATGGTGTCTTAGATATACAAAGGGACAAGAAAGGTTCCTCTCCTTTTCTTAAACAAGCAAGGTTACCTAAAGCTTTTTTTGATATGAAGGAAGACTGGGAATTAAGGGATTATTGGCGGGAATGTAATCAAGAGGAGAGAGATTTCACTTTTTTTTCTGATAGACACCAATCTTTTTCAAGAATTGACTTTTTTTTGATTACTACGGATTTGTATAATAAAGTAAAGAATGTAAAGATTTTTCCTAGATCACTGACGGATCATAGCCCAGTTTGGATGGAGCTGACTCAAGAGAAAGAGGAAAGGAGATCCTGGAGAGTTAATGAAAATTTGTTCAGACAAGAGAAGAATGTTCAAAAGTTAAAGGAGTGTTTAAAGGACTATTTTGCTTTGAACATGTATAAGGGGACTTCAATGTCAATGGTATGGGATGCAGGTAAAGCATTTATGCGTGGTGTTTTGATAAAAATGAATAATTGTCATAAGCGGAAGCAGATTCAGAAACGTAGAGAACTTGAAGATGAAATTAAATCAAAAGAAAGGGCCTTGATTCTAAATCCTTCTGATGAAAGTATTAAAGAATCTGTAAAGTTACTAAGGTCACAATTTAATATGTTGATAGCAGATCAAGCGGCAACCAATTTATTGTTTATGAAACAAAATACATTTTGTAATGCTAATAAGCCTGGGAGATGGTTGGCTTATCAATTAAGAAAGAAACAGAGACAGAGAATAATAGAGAAAATAAATTACAAGGGTAAATTAGTTTCTCAGAAGGAATTGATTAAAAAATCTTTTTTGGATTATTATCAAAAGTTATACAAATCTACTAATGTGCAACTGCTAGATATAAATAAATATCTAGCTGAGGCAAGTTTTCCTAAATTGACTGAGGATCAGAAACATGAAATTAATGGCTTAATTACTAAGGAGGAAATTGCCTCAGCAATTCAACAATTGAAACTAGGGAAAGCACCGGGTACGGATGGGTTAACAGCTGTTTATTATAAAGCTTTAATGGAGGAGATGATTCAACCATTAAATGATCTTTTTAATGGTATCTTACAGGGTTTAGAGATTCCTCCTTCATGGCGTAGTGCTTTTATATCATTGATTCCAAAGGAGGATCAAGATCTTACTTTACCAAAAAATTATAGGCCTATATCTCTTTTAAATGTGGATTACAAGATATTTGTAAAAATCTTAGTAAATAGGCTTATGAGGGTTGTGCATCACCTTGTGCATAAAGATCAATCTGGGTTCATAACTGGAAGGTACATGAAAAATAATGTCAGACAAATTATTAATTTATTAGAATATTTAGATAAAAACAACCAAGTTCCTGCAGGGCTGATATTTTTAGATGCTGAAAAAGCTTTTGATCAATTGAATTGGCATTTTATGTTAAGAGTAATGGAAGAGATGAATTTTGGTGAAAAGATATTGCAAGCTCTTATGGTAATATATCAAAAACAAACGGCACAACTTATCGTTAATGGAGGTTTGTCGGAGGTTTTTACAATAGAGAAAGGTACTAGACAGGGGTGTCCTTTATCGCCATTGTTGTTTGTTTTAACACTGGAAATATTATTGATCAAAATTTGAGAGTCTCAGGAAATTAAAGGAATAGAAGTTAACAAAAAAGAATATAAGTTGAGAGCTTTTGCGGATGACTTGGTTGTTACTTTGTCGCAACCTGATTATTCTGCAGTAAACTTATTACAGTTGATTTATCATTATGGTTTGGTTTCGGGTTTCAAGATTAATGTAAATAAGACTAAAATTTTACCTAAAAATATGTCTAGTCAGGAGAAGCAGATTTTGGCTAACTTGACGGGTTTTGAGATTGTTAATAAGGTAAAATATTTGGGGGTGATGTTGTCTGTTTCTAATGTAAAATTATTTAAAAATAATTATGAAAGGTTGTGGGTCAGGGTACAGAAGGACTTGAAGAATTGGGAGAAGTTGCAATTATCCCTCATGGGAAGAATTGCAGTGATAAAAATGAATATTCTACCCAAGTTTCTTTTTTTGTTTCAAATGTTACCGATTTTGAAAAATGAGATTAATTTAAGTGAGTGGCAGAAGGGTCTTAATAAATTTATTTGGGCAGGGAAAAAGCCAAGGGTTAAGTTTAAAATTATGCAAGACTTCCGTGAGAGGGGTGGACTTAAGGTACCAAATTTGAAATTATATTACGATGCGGTGGTTTTAACACTAATCAGTGATTGGGTAAATTTGACAAATCCTGAGATACTTTATTTAGAGGGATGGGATTTACTTTATGGGTGGCATGCCTATTTAATATTTAATAAAAAAATGGACTGGGTCTTTAAATCTCATATTTTAAGAATTTCTTTACTTAGGATTTGGAGAAAATATTATAAAAGTGATTTTAAAGTTCCATTATGGGCTATACCTTGGCATGCGATAGAAGGAATAAAAAGAGGAGTAAAAATGGACATGGTGTCTTATAGTCAGTTACTTAGATGGGATGGGCAAAACTGGCAGTTAAGAATACGGGAAGATTTAGCGCAAGAAAATATTATTTATTCTTGGTTTCAATATAGGCAACTAGTAGATAAATGGAAGGTGGATTGTAAATTGGGTTTTCTTAGAGAAGATGGAAATCTTATTAAGCAAGTCAAGGATCAAAGACAAACCCATATCAAGAGAATTTATGGGGTATTAGTTGAAATGGACTCAGAAACGGAATTAATTAAAGATTGTATGATTAGATGGGCGCAGAATTTTGGTGTCCCAGTCTCATTGGACATTTGGGAAACCATTTGGGTGAGAAATGTCAAATTTACACAAGCACAGAACCTTAGGGAGAATTTTTATAAAATGTTTTATAGATGGCACCTTGATCCACAAAAAATGTCTCTTATGTACCCTGACGTGCAACCCAAATGTTGGAGATGTGGTTATAAGGATGCTTCCTATTATCATATTTGGTGGTCATGCAGAGAGATAAAAGCATTTTGGATCAAAATATGGTGGAATATCCAGAGAATTTTTAGAAGGAGGGTAAAATTTACTCCGCAATTATTTTTGTTAGGCATTGTTACAGATTGTGATACAAAGGAGGTTGTATTGATGTTAAATTTGATTACAGCCGCTAGGCTGTTAGTAGGACAATATTGGAAGAAGGAATCTTTGCCTACATTGCAGGAATGGTTTCTTAAAGTAGCTTATCTGGCGGAAATGGCAAAGATTTCGGCTTTCTTAAAGCAACAAACGCAAGAGAAGTTTCTTGCTGTTTGGGACAAATGGATAAAATTTATACAATTTAGATTGGGTATACAAAAATATCACATAGCTTTTTTATAAGTTTTATTTTTATATATATATATAGATATTTTTTATATATATATATATAAATATAAATTTTTTAATTTAATTTTTTATTTTTATTTCTTAATTTTTAATTAAGCCTATATTCTGCTCTGGGAAGCTCAGGGGGGGGGAAGGGAGGGTTTTTGTGAGGGGTGGGGGATGGGTTTTTTTTTTTTTTTATATATGTAATGTTTAGTTTTTTCTGTATATGTTGTCTTTTGTTTTGTATTGTTTTTGTCTTTTTGTAAAATTTATAAAACTTTCAATAAAAAAAAAAAAGAGTAAAAACAAGCCGCACACACATACAGTTGTATTTCTCAGTTCACGTACCCTCAAATATTTTCCCCAGCCCTGAAAGATTAGAGATTCATTTCACCACATACAGCAATCTCAGTGGATAGATATTCAGTGCTTAAGTAGTGAATAGAGTATGAATTCTTTATTCTTTGATAACACAATATTACTTTGCTAATAAGAGATACTGATATTTACTGGTGTTACTAAATAAATTTTCATTTTATTTTATTTTTGGTACAGATTCCAGTTTACAGATTTGCCAACACAAATCACCAACATGCTGCACTAAGAAAATGGAAGAAAATTATCAAGCAGCTGTTAGAAGAGAGAGGATAGAGAACACTCAGACTCTAAATTTTGAACTGAAATATATGATTATTGGTCACATTACAGCTTTCCAAGGTAGGAATGATAATTTTTTTCCATTTATTTAAACATTTAAAATCATGTTTGCTATATCTCTTCTTCCAACATGATCATCTAGTCAGATTGATTGATTTGAAAGGATGCCTGACTCCAAAGTGACAATGGGTGGCTTATCCTTTAAAAGAATAAATAAAAAGAACAGATGTGATTATGATTGTCTGGACAAAATATACTACATATATTACAAAAACACAACAAAGGTTCTACAACTACCATTTCCCAAGGCTTGGGAGAAAGTCTAATTTTAAAAGATTTTTGGAGCAGTATCAGGGTGTAAACCTAAAAATACGGTATAATATAAAAGAAACAGTTCTCTAACATTGTGATCAGTCCCCAGTATTCAGAGATGCACTTTTAAACATACAAGTCTTCTTTAAATATGTAATATTATATATCTAGAACTGTGGTTTTATGAATGGGTGGTTAAGGCAATGCTTTGTTACCTATCATTTTAATACTTTTAGCATTATAGTATGATGAAAGCATTAAAATGAAGTACATTTTTACCTAATGATAAAGTACAATTTTAAGGGAGCCTTTTTTTAAAGAATACAACAAATTATATTACTTGTATTTATAGAGCATGTCCTTCATTCCCTGCCCCCAGTTCTTCTATGCTGCCTTATTGTGGCAAGGGGATATTTCTGGGAGGGATAAGTGAAAAATGCTGAGAGTGCACACCAAGCCTATATATTCCCACAGAGTCACTCAAGGTATGAAGGTCAACCTGACTATCCAGCTAAAGCAAGCAGGCTTCTATGGTGGGCAGCAGCAATGTATGAAGTTGTTGGAGGTAAATGTTCATTTAAGTGATAATGGCAAAGTCATTATTTCACACTGTCTCAGAGAAGGCAATGATAAACACTTCTGTATTTTATCAAGGAAACCACATAGGTAAACCATCTAAAAATGATGAATAATATAGATAGATCCTTTTGATAGGAAGAATGAAGGGCCCTTCAGATAGGACGGCACTCAGGATGATACTGAGGAAGAACGGATAATAGTGCTAGAATAAAATCTAGTTGCTGATGTTGCTATGCAGGAAAAGAAAGCCCAAGCTGCAAAGGCAATCACAGAAGGAAGGTGGAACATAGGAAGCATGAACACAGGGAAATTCAACACAGGGTAAATGAAATGAATAATCTACACACTGATATTTTAGGCTTCAATGAAGTGGAATAGGACATGTTCAGTCCAAAATACACTGATTATTATTCAAGACGTGAAAACCAAAAATGGAATGGTACATTTTCATCACGAGGAAGGATATGACTAGGACAGTACATTGGTACAATGCTGTCTGTAATTGAATGACATCAATTAAATGTTGCACACACACCTTTATTATGATGGTTATCCAAATTTCTGTTTCAACCACTGATGCAGAAGAAGAGGTGGTTGAATGATATCAAATTGACTACATTATACTATGAGAAGGTACAAGAAGTCATTTACAACAGTGAACATATGGAACAACATGAAAAGATCATGTGCAAGTTCCAAGTCAAGCTAAAAAAGAAAATGGAAAAAAAGCTAACTGGTTACCACAATGTAATCTTGAGCCTATATCCACTATTTTCATAACAAAAAAAAAAACCAGGAATCACTTTGAAGCGTTGAACTTCATTGACAGAGAAGTAGAAAAACCTGCAGAATGGACACACACACACACACACACACACACACTTAGGGTGAATATGAAAACTGATTGCCAAGAGCAGAAGAAGGCAGGATTAAATATAAAAAAAGAGAAAATTAGTGGCAGTGGGTACAGCAATCAGGTTTAGAAGTGACAACAAAAATGTTGAAGTGGTGGGTAGTTTCTGTTTTTTTTGATTGACTATCAACAGTAAAGGAACTGCCAGCCACAAAATATCCTGCAGACTACTAAGGGTAACTAGCAATGAAGACTTTGGAAAAGATATTCTTATACCATGATATGTATATGTCTACAAAGAACAGTTCCTTGATAATATGCTCCCTGTGATAGTCTAGGGAAGTGAAAGATGGAGTTTGAAGAAGCAGGATAGGAAGAACAGGGCTTTTTTTCTCATAGAATGCCCAGAACGGAGTTTCGGCATCTTTTTTGGATGGAACCTTGTAGGGTAGGCAAGGGGGGTTGTATGATGTGTGTGAGTTCCAGCAAAAAAAAAAAAAGCACTAAGGAAGAGTATTTATGATTTGAATTTTGATGTTGGAGAAGACTCATGAGAATATTATGGACAGCCATGGCCAAAAAATGAAATAAAAAAAAAAAACACTCTAGGGCTCTATCTCAAGGGAAAAATGATCAAGTTCAAATTATCACATTCTGGGCACATTATGTTCCAAATTATGTTCCCCTGTTTTGCAAGAGAACAGTGTGCTAAAGGTATAGCTATATTGTCATTTAAGAATTAACATTGTCTTGATGATATGTAATCAATCTCCTGACACTATTAGACTTTGATATATATTTGTTTTGTGGGACTGGTCCTACATTCCACAGAAACAGGGAATAAAATTCTGGTGTCATTAATTTCTGTATGAACACAGAGTAGGTGTTGTTGTAGATAAAGGAGAGCTACATACTATTTCTAATTAACAGGTTTCATATTTTAGCTAATTTGCATACAAGCCCACAAGCAAAACAACAATATGCAGCTTTTTCCACTTGTTCGTCCCTAAGGGTTTCACACTTTTATAAATGTATTGTTACTTGGATGGTAGAAATTTGCTTTGGCTGTTTGTTATTCTAAACTGCAAGCAATAGAGAAGGGGAGCTGGAATGAAGAGGTGTAGAAGAAGCAATTTGTTTTATTTCACTGCCTGGAACAAAATAGTCTTAGTAGTATCCCATATAGTTCTGAAAAATCTGGCATTGAGTCACATTTGACTCCTCTGCTTGCCAAAGGGGAAATACAGAGCCATTGTTGACTGACAGTGAATTATTCAAGTGATCTTTCAGCATCATTATAGAATAAAGCAAAGGTCAGAATAGATTAACCTGTCAGACCCTGAGGTCAGTCAAGCAGCTTTATTGCTTAACTGAGCGAAATCGGTCATTAGACATTTCAAAGTAGCTTGAATTTACAAGCACTTTCCAGAAATGGTTGTCCAAATTATTGTATTGTAAATTATTATAAACTTGCTTTGTCCACTTTAGGTGAGAACATGCCAGCATTTCAGCTATGCCTTCTTAAAATCTCAAAGGGTCATTTGTTCCTTGGGTTGGCTGAAGCTTCAAAAGGTGCTCTAAATCCTTCATTCAGATGACACTATATCCACATTCTGTTGCTTAAGCAGGGATCTTTGGTTTTCATTTCTTTTTTCATTCTGAAATAATTTCCTCTGCATTTAGCTTGGTTTATTGTTTTGTGACATCATTATGAAACATTAAAGGTGGCATGCCTCAAGTTGATCTGCTGACATAAGTCCCTTTCACTTTTCCATGAGGAAAAATGTTGTGCTGGTGGAACCATTGATACTTGGACTGAATATCCAATTAGCCCAATTCAAAACCTGAACAATTGCTAATATTTATCTCCTCCCTCCCTCCCTCCCTCCCTCCCTCCCTCCCTCTCTCTCTCTCTCTCTCTCTCTCTCTCTCTCTCTCTCTCTCTCTCTCTCTCTCTCTCTCTCACACACACACACACACACACACACACACACAATGGCATTTTCTCTAGTTCCTGACCTTGGCTTAGACTTCTGTTATTGAGGCTGCTATAAGTTCCATGCTCTGCATTTTGAGAATTCCACCTTAAATAAACATAGAAATAGATATCTGTCATCTAGTAGATATAAATATGGTTGGCCAATAGGCTGATATTTTGCAAGACTCTTCTAGTCTTTCAAAGTAATGCATTTTGTTGTATATATATCAGAATATTAAGTGAAAGTCTTAGATACTGACTTAAATTTTAGAAGAAAAGAAAAATTGGCAGCAGACTGCTGTTAAGGAAGGTCGGCTTAAAAAGTTTGTTACAAAAAGTACTATAAGATTTCATATTTTAAACTATATTCTATAGATAATTTTAATAATTTTGCATGTTAGGGTGAAATGGTATAAATTTAACAGTTATCAGTCACATATAATGGTTAATATAAAAAGCTGTACTTAATACATCTGCAAACTGACATTGTTACTTTTGGATCAATGTCCATTTCATACTTGTGGGCTTTAATACTGCTGCAAAATGGTCAGTTTTATAAAGTGATTTGCAATTTTAGCAAGCACTGTGAGAGTAAATGCTAAACAAATCAATAAAGTATTGCTTTTGGTTGTTGTCATGCTTTAGATATCAGCAGCACTGCTGCTGATACTGACAGTCTGCTTTTAGTGAATGGTTAAAGATTATCTCAGTGTAATGACCTCCATACTTGGTCCATCATCAAATTCACCCTATGTGTTTTCAGCTCATTACCTAATGAGTCAGTCCTTCACAGACAATTTCCTTTTCTGATCTCAATTTCAGACCTTCATTTCACTGTAGTTATCAAGTCACAAGGAAGTAGAAAATCAGCAATAAAGATGTAAGATTTGGGCCCATTTTGAATTTTTATGGTGCTCTTTCATTTCCAGATTCTCCTTTACAGCTGACCTCCAAGTATGGTCAAAAGCTTTCAAATGAGCCCTCAACTTTCTCTAGCTTTCTCTTCATTACTTGTGGTCCTGTAGGTTTAACAAAGACAAAGGGGAAGGAAAAGGACAATATAATCTTAGCTTAGTTTTTTGAGAATAGGAGACTTGCTACATTGAATTTCTCCAATGAAATGTGATTGGAAAAATGAGTCAGAGAGATATGTTTCCTGAATGCCAGGGAGATAGGAAAAGGGAAGCAATGAAACATTTGTAGTGATGTAATAGAAATTCCATCTTTTACATACTTCTGTGCAACATCACAATTTAATAATGAAATGACAGAGTTATATCTATTTGATGTTAAATGTTTTATTATTTTGGTATCACTGAGGCTGGTTACAGTTGTTCA